CAACAAACAAATCTTTTCATCAAAAAAGAATCATCTCTTCTTCTCTTACTCTTCCCAATTCGAATTCCAAAACCTTTCCTAAAAGCATATTCATTATACGCTTCGAAAGCTTCATCTTCAGATTTAAATTCTTTATCCTTTAATTCAGACTGTTCTGCTTCTAAATACATAATATCATCATTTTTTTCCACTGCACAATATACAATTATAAATGATCATAAAGAGTTTCATGAATGAACAATAACAAATAAGTAAAATGTTCAATATCAAAACAGCACATGATCAATTGCAAAAAGAATTTCAGCACATAATATTTTGAACAATATTTTCATTATTTACCACTACACATAATATCGATATAAAAATGTAAAAATAAATGATCAAAAATGACTTTAAGACTGAACATAAACACATTAGTAACAATGAATAAGAAAACATAAACGATTAATTGAAAGTATAATCTACAAAATATACGACAAAAACACACAATTCTAAAACACAGAGAAAACAACAAATGAAACAACAAATGAAGCAACAAAATGTTCATACAAAGTACAACAATCCAAAAACGTTCATCATAATGTAATCAAAGTAGTAAATTCAAAAATCGAAAGTGAATAATAATACATCAATTAAGTTCAAATTAACAGAGCATTATAACAGAACAAATTAGGGATAATTAAAAATTGAAAAATTATGATCACAATTACTCACATTGTTGCACAAACGAATCAACGAAACGAAGTCCAGAAGGAAACACACGCTCGCAATCGCGATCAAAATCAACGCAATCTCCAGATGCAGAATTCGCCATTGATGATCGGTAACAATTAACGAATTCGTTCAAAAAATCAAATGAAGAAGATGAATTAGCGAGAGAAAAATGTAGATCTAAAATGGAGGTTGGTTGATCAATTGAAGAGAGAGAAAAAATAGGGTTTAAAATCATATATATACATAAATTGAATAATAAGAATCAAAGGAAAAAGGAAAAAAGAGGAAGAAAAGAAAAAAAGAAAAAAAGGAAAAAAAAAAAAAAAAAAAAAGGAAAGAATCGCAAATACCAGCTACAAAACGACGTAGCATAGGGGGGGTGTAGGGAACACACCCTACACTAGGGTGTAGGGTAAAATTAATTTACTAAACTGGGCCCGGTTTGAGCTTTAAGTACGGCCTAATGATCTAGGGGAGGGCCTAATATAATTTATCATTCCTAATGCAATTAGGAATGGTTTTAGTCTTCTAGAACATTCTAGAAGGTTCTTTTCATTCCTAATTCAGTTAGGACTCTTCAGAGTTTTAATCAAGATCAAATAGCATTTTCGATTGGAATTATATTATTTTATCTTCCAGTACGGAAATTTATCAGATTTTCGAAAACGTGTTAAAAGTCAGTTTGGCGTCCAACCCCAGGCCTTGGCGCCTGGAACCAGGATTGGCGCCAGACGCCAGCATTGGCGCCTGGCGCTAGCCACTGGTCCTGGCGCCAATTAGCCAGGGTTGGCGCCAAGATGGTTTTGCGGTCTTCAGACTCTGTTTTGATAAATTATCTTTTTTGGATGATTTTCTCTATAAATATCGTATCAAAAGCTTCGTTTTCATTCACCGATTCTCTTTATTTCTTAAGTTTTAATAAACTCCGTTTTCAAAAGAAACCAATCACGAAGAATCATCAATTCTCTTCTTCATTCATTTCTCTTCATTTACAAATCATTCATCAATCCTCTTCATTCATCAAGCTTTCATTCTTTAGCATTCTTTTCTTTTATTCTTTTCTAAACTTTGCTTTTTAATACAAAATTCCGCATTCATTAGATCTAGAAACACCTAGCCATATTCGAAGTTGCCTTCGCCCTAGACGTGAAAGGTTTTACTTTCTGAGGGTTTGGTCCCAAATCTCTCTTTCAATTATTTAATTTAATTGTTTTGTTTATTATTTTCCTTAAAGTTACTAACGTGTGTATTTTGTTATTAGAAAGAGGTACGAGGCATCCAAGTAAGTACTTTAATGTTTTTATTGATATTATGATGTAGAAGTCATGCTTAGATTATTATTTTGATTCCTAGTATTATGTCTAGGGTAACTTTAATATCAAGTATGATTAAAAGTACGATGCTTCCTATTTTCTTCCTAATTTTAATTCATGTTAGTATCATGTTAGGGCTAAAGATTTGATTTTTATTGCTTAGTGATATGCTAGGGTTTGTTATTAATCTTGTTAGTATCATGCCTAGGATCTTGCTATGCTTTAACATGATTATGATTATGATTATGATTATGATTGATATTATTATTATTATTATTAATGATGTTGATTATTTATTTATGTTGCTTGATATGCATTATATTTTATATTGTTATTGCTTGATCACTTTTAAAGGGAATTTGTACTTGCAACCACGCTTGATAAGATAATTAATAATCTTGTTAGGTTAATTGTGATTATAATTCAAGTGATCGCCAATAATAGATTTGTTTGTGCATTATATTCAACCAACATAGATTAAACAGGTTTAGGGTTAATCCTATTGATTGTATGTTAGTCAGAAAGCGCACATGAATACGAGCAGAATAAAGTAGAGGCCTTTTATTAGGGCGGGTTCAATCTCTTTTAGGTTGGACTTGTACCATCATCCCCGAACCCTTATTTGGTTCATGACCTTATGGAGTTGACGATCTCTTGGATCGTTAAGGGGTGTAACCTTCACCTCGTGAACGGTTTACAAGTTCCTTAAAAACTTGTTGGCGACTCTTTTGCTCTATCTTCTTCCCTTTTGGACGCCACCGTACTTTAGTGTATGATCACAGTGGGGTTCAAGCTAGTGGGATTTTAAAGGCTTGAAATTATTCCCTACACACTTATTAAAACACGGCCGGATTTGATAAGTGTAACCCTTATTTAAAATAAGGAGGGAGTACAAGAACATACTTACTAACCATCTGTTGGATTTCTTTACTCTTTTTTGTTTTGTTTTGTTTTTGATTAAAAAAAATGTGGAGAGCTTAACATAAGGAAAGATGGAGCTACGAGTAAGCATTATTAGTGTGATTTGTAATAAAGCTGAGCAAAAGAAGAGTCACTATGAGATCTTGCTAGAGTCGTTCCGATATATATTTTCAATTTTTTTTTTTTTTTTTTTTTTTTTTTTTGCAATTTGATTTGTGCAAATTTAGAGAATATTATTAGTGTTTTGAGGAAATGGATAAATTCGTAGTTGGTAATATTAATATTGTAATATATATGTGAGATATTGTAAATATATTTATATTAGAAAGATAAGATAATTGAAAATATTAAGGTTAGGTATCCGTATTCCTATTGTCTATATATATTGTAATGTAGCCGAAGAGAATAATAATAATTAAAAAAACCTAAAGTTTACTATTTTTCAAAATAATAATAATTAAGAAACCTTAAGTTGGGTGGATTTGGGAAGGTGCTTTTTTTGTGGACAAGGGCAACGACCACAAGATCAATTGGCGACTAGAATTTGCAATGAATCGGATTTGGATCGGGTGGAGCTTCACCCGCATCCATCCATCATTCTAATTGCCCCATCTACATCCATCTGTCACCCGTTCACCCACCATCCATATCCATCCGTCCATCATCCGCGGATGAAACGGGTGGAGCTGATGACAAATGAATGAGTATTAAAGTGAAAAAAACTCACATAAACTTTAATTTACGGTTATTTATACTTCCTCCTTTTTTTTATTGCACCACTTACCATTTTAGGAAGTTTCATATTTATTGCACCATTTCTATTTTGGGCAACTTTTTACATATAAAGTTACCAATTTACCCTTACTTGTACTACATAATCAGCCCTTATAAACTGTTCTAACCATGATTAAAATTATTTAACAACATCAAATTGGCCCCTCCTTATATTCCCAAATCACCTTTTTTGTACAATCACGTGCTACGAAGAATTGGAGATATCCTCATAATATGATCTTTATCTTCTCTCTCCTATTTTTCCCCCAAATTTATTTAAGAACCCAGATCTAGGGTTCATACACCCAAAAATTAAATCCCACCACCAACATCAACCGGATTTTTCGCAGTACAATGCAATTACAAACCGAAAATTTTCATGTCGATCGACTCCGTATTCATGTTCTGTATTTGAGCTAAACTCAGGAGAGAGAAAATTTGAGCGAGAGCTTGCAAGAGATCCATGTAAAGTATTGATTTTTGTAAGTATCCATTCTTTTCTTTACAATTTCTAATTGTTGTTAGTGCTGGTGTTGAGCTCATGGAGTTGAGTATGGGGTTATGGCTTATGGGTTGATTACCTTGATTTAGGGGTTAATGTAGTTTGGTTTTTTTATTTAATTGTTTAATTTATTACAAGTATGCATTACTTTAATAGTTTTTTTTTTTATTTTATTAATAAAAAGGATTGGAACTTTGGGCACGGTAGGGTTTGAAAGATCTAGGAGGGCGCGAGCTGATGCCATTATGGGGGGGAAAGGTGAGAAAATTTGGTAGTATGAGAGAGAAAGGTAAAATGTCATAAGTGCCCTTGTTATTGCCAGGAAGAAAAATAATTAACAAAAAGTCAGTTGGGGGATTGGGGACCACTACATGGGTTTCTGCTTTTCTACAAGGGAATGCACGTGGGGTGGAAGGATCACATGGGAATTCTATTTGTAGAATTTTGGTTTGGCTCCAAAATTCAAATGAAATTATACCACCAAAATAGCTGAAAATTTAAACACCCACTAAAACTGAAAAATTTGAAAATTGAAAACATCTAACAAATTTCACAATACATCACCCTCACTTCAGTACTTCAATATAAAAGGGTTGAGTTATCAGAAAAAAAAAAAAAAAAAAAAACATTCTCTGAAACTTAATTTGTTACACATTCAAAGCATTAAGTTCAACTTTTTTTTTTTAAAAGTAGGAGCACTTTCACAACACACACATCACATAGAGCCTTTGTTTGTCATCACGGCACACACAGCACATTGGGAATGGATGTTGAGGGAATTGAGGACCTTGAAGAGCTTTATAATCTCGAGAAATCTCAAGGCTTTCATGCAGATTTTGAGGTACTCTTTTCTTCTAAATCTGATTATGATAGCGATGTAGAATTAGATAATGATGCAAACCCAATAGTAGTAGTCATGGAATTAGAACATGATAATGTCATATTAGAGAAAAACGGAAAGAAAACTTTTGAATTAACTGATAAACAAAGGCAACATATTGTGCAAAAGCTTATTTTAGCACAAGAAGGAAAACGGTTTTGGCCAGGATGGAAATCTGTTCCAAAAGGTTCAATTAAAAACTTAGCAATTGAATACAACGTAGATCGGTCCACTATTGGTAGAATTTGGGCTAAGGCAAAGAGCCAATTTGGGAGTAATATAGTGATTGATGTGTCTAGCCATAAAAGACAAAGAGGAAGAAAGAAATTAGAGTTTGACCCAGCTATTTTAGCAGCAGTACCAATTGAAAAAAGAACCACAATTAGAGGGTTAGTAGAAGCTAGCACTACACTTAAGCCACACAACAATGTATAGGTTACTAAGGACTGGGATACTTAGGGCACACACAAACAGCATAAAACCATCACTTAAGCATCACCATAAAGTTAAATGAGCGCAATTTATCATGAATAGTATCATTCCAGGAATGGTAACTGAACTTCCTAAGTTTAGTGCAATGTATAACATGGTGCATATTGATGAAAAATGGTTTTATATGAGTGATAAGACTCAAAGATTTTATCTTTTTCCGTGGGAGGATGACCCATATAGAGCAACTCAAAGCAAAACATTCATGGAAAAGGTAATGGTAATGGCTGGGGCTGCTAGACCACATATTTCTAGTGATGGAGAAGTCTTTTGGGATGGAAAGCTTGGTGTTTTTTCTTTCACAGAACAGGTGGCAGCAAAGAAAAATTCAAAGAATAGAGCTGCAGGCACTATTGAGACTAAGGCTTTACAGTCAATAATAACTAAATCCACCATCAGATCAATGTTAATTGATAAAATGCTTCCAGCAATCAGGTCAAAGTGGCCATTAGGAGCATGCAAGGAAATATGGATACAACAGGATAACTCTAGGCCTCATATAAGTCCAAATGACACAGAATTCTTAGAAGTTGCAACCAAGGATGGTTTCAATATCAAGCTTATTAATCAGCCAGCACAAAGTCCAGACTTGAACATTCTTGATTTGGGTTTTTTTGCAGCTATTTAGTCACTACAGTATAAAGAATTTCCGAGAACATTTGAAGAGTTAAATGGAGCAATTGAAAATGCATATAATGCATATGATCCAAAGTCTTTGAATCACTCTTGGATGCACATGTAATATTGTATGCTTGAAATACTTCAGATAAATGGAGGAAATGGTTATAAAAATCCTCACAAGGGAAAGAAAAGGTTGGAAAGAATAGGACTCCTTCCTGTTCAAATTGAAGTACCGACTGAATTGATGCTTGAAGGTCAAAGTTTCTCAGATCAAGGACATATTGATGTCAATATTACCCACCATGGTAATAATGAACACAATATGACTCAAGGGAATTGAGATCAGATTTGAAAGCAATGGCATTTTGAGAGCTTTACTAGTAGAAGAATGATAACATGAAAGCAACTGCATTTTTTGGGAGGTTGCAAGTTCAAATCATGTTTGATTGTAAAACCATTAATTATATTTTGGGGGCTGTAAATTCAATTCAGTTTGGTTGTTAAACTTGACTCAAGGATGTAAGTACATGCAGTTAGCTAGATAAATATTTGTACATGCATAATTTTTTGCTTAGATCACATGTGCATCTGAAATTTAAATTCCATGTTAGTATTAGTCTAAGTATATTGTAACTAGATCATGGAAGTCTTTTGCAAATGTAAGTGGTGACTATGAATGAAGCAATACTTTAGTAAAAAATATTTTTAATTCATCTTTTTTAATGATTACATTCCAAGGGAGGGTATGCATGTATCAATATATATTTCTCAAATTTGGCTAATCACGTAAAGCATACAAAAAATTACATTAGTACTTATAATTGAGGGGTTTAATAGATCATACCAGGTTTTGAGTAGCATCCGAGTCATATTTATCAGGAGTTTGAGTGGCATCCGAGTCATAATTATCAGGAGTTTGAGTGGGATCCGAGTCATGATTATCAGGAGCTTGGGTGGCATCCGAGTCATCCAAGGCTAAACTATCAGGACTTTGAATGGCATCCGTGTCATCGACAAGGGAAGTTACAGGTTCAAACTGAGTCTCCTTGGGCACATACCTTACTTGTCTTTTCTCACCAGTGTTCCAAATATGTTCCGGTGTATCAGGAACTTCAAGTCCTTCTAAATTTTGAACTTGATTGGATGGAGTAGAAGGAGGGCTTTGATGTGGACAATGTTTGGAGATAACATCATCTTCATCACTAGAACTTTCAAGATGGTATGCTTTTCTCTGCCTTTTACGCTTTGCCCGCGCTTCTTCATCTAATGATGCTTCTGAATAAAAAAACATCCTCCCCACAAGGCTAACTCTTTGGGATGCATTCTCCAGAATCATCTACTAAGTCATCACTTTCTTCAAAGTAGATAGGTGTTTTTCCCCTTCTTCTTTTCTTAACATATTCCTCATCCGTTTCAGAAGATAGGCCATCGCTGTAATGATACCCCATGGGAAAAATATCCAATTCCACCTACTTTGCAAATAGAAACTGTGATAGAAGGAGTTCCACAATTTAATTCAAAAGCTATGTTCATTGTACATACTTCAAATATGATACTCATAAATATACTATACGTTACTAATTAGGGGGAGGGGAGCATAAAAAGGCACCACTACTATCACAACAAGCAAAACACTCTCCAAAGTTAAAAATAAAAACATCAATAAACATCAAAATTACTCCCTCAATTGTTTGGGTTATACAGATAAGAACATGGAGCCTAGCATACTAGAGTAGTGCATACTTGTAATAAATTAAACAATTAAATCAAAAACCAAACTACATTAAACCCCTAAATCAAGGTAATCAACCCATAAGCCATAACCCCATACTCAACTCCATGAGCTCAACACCAGCACTAACAACAATTAGAAATTGTAAAGAAAAGAATGGATACTTACAAAAATCAATACTTTACATGGATCTCTTGCAAGCTCTCGCTCAAATTTTCTCTCTCCTGAGTTTAGCTCAAATACAGAACATGAATACGGAGTCGATCGACATGAATATTTTAGTTTTGTAATTGCATTGTACTGCGAAAAATCCGGTTGATGTTGGTGGTGGGATTTAATTTTTGGGTGTATGAACCCTAGATCTGGGTTCTTGAATAAATTTGGGGGGAAAATAGGAGAGAGAAGATAAAGATTATACTTCCTCCTTTTTTTTTATTATTGCACCATAGGGGTTGGGTACAAATAGTTTGGTAGTGGAAAAAAGTAAGAGAGAGAAAGGTAAAATACAAAATTGTCCATGTGACATATTAACAAACTAAAAAGTAAATGTGAAAAAATAAGGGTATGTTGGGTATTTGTAGTGTGAATACAAATAATTTTTTTCCTAAAGAGGAAATGGTGCAATATTTGTGAAACTTTCTAAAATGGCAAATGGTGTAATAATAAAAGAACGGAAGAAGTATTATGAGGATATCTCCAATTCTTCATAGCACGTGATTGTACAAAAAAGGTGATTTGGGAATATAAGGAGGGGCCAATTTGATGTTGTTAAATAATTTTAATCATGGTTAGAACAGTTTATGTACAAGTAAGGGTAAATTGGTAACTTTATATGTAAAAAGTTGCCAAAAATAGAAATGGTGCAACAAATATGAAACTTCCTAGAAAGGTAAGTGGTGCAATAAAAAAAACGGAAGAAGTAATATATTGTTTGAAAAATTAATTTGCAACAAAAAAAAAAGACAAATATTTTCTTGTACATTTCATAAATTTCCAGCGTCACGCTGGCCGGCGACTACCTCTCTCCCGGTGCCGGCGGCCCCACCCTTCCCTTAACCATTCCCACTTCCCCCTTCCCGTTCATTCCCTCCCTGACCCTGAGTCCTTATCAGCCCCTCCACCCCAATTCGACAACCCTAGTATCCCCAATTCCCGTTATACCCCTCTCCCTTCCCGCCGTTTCGTCAACCCTATTAGCCCGATTCAGCCGGATTTCCCAGGTTTGTGGGTAATTAGGTGGGTTTTCGTGGTTGTTGGAGGGTTTCAATGGTTGTGCGGGGCTCATCGTCCGCCGTGAAGGTTTTCGGCAACAATATTGTGGGAAAAGCGAGAATAGGGAAAAAGGAGGGGTGGGGTTGCCACCGCCGAGGGAGGGGCGCTGTTTGCTGGCCTCCGGAAAGGGGGGCTGGCCGGCTGGCAGTGTGGGTGGTGAAGGGACGGCTTAGGATTTTTTTTTTTTTTTTTTAAAAAAAAACCTTTTATTTAGGGCTTGTTTGGCATTAGTTTTGGTTTTCAGTTTTCTGTTTTTTTTTTAAAACTAAAAACCAAAAACAGGAAACAAGAAAAAGGTGTTTCCGTTTTTCTATTGTCAGTTTTCAAAATTATCATAATTTTAACAAGTTTATATAATTTTTGATTCATTATGGGACACATATCATATACTTTTAGAAAACAAAAAACCAAAAAACAGAAAAACACAGCGGTGCCAAACGAACCCTTAGTAATTAAATATTGTTTAATTATAGTTATACATTTAATTAAAATCAATAAATTATTTTTGATTATAAAATGATCTGTTTGGTATGTTTTAGGTCATTTGACCTATTAAAATAAAATACCTTTAATAGTTGACTTATTATGAGTTAAAGGAAAAGTTGGCTTGTTATGAGCTAACAAGCATAAAAATTGACTTATTACTTTTCCTAACAATAGCAATAATAATAATAATAATAATAATAATAATAATAATAATAATAATAATAATAATAATAATAATAATAATAATAAATTGGGGCCCAGCGTGGGCTTGTAACAAAAGTATTAAAAATAAAATTGATAACAACTCATAAAAAAGTAGAGAATATTCTCAAATGATAATACATTAAAATAAAAATAAGCTATTAATTTTGAAGACTCCAAAAAAAAAATGAACCGGACCACTTTCAGTGTTAGTATCTGTATTTCTGTAGAGATACTATTTTAGACGCATTATAAGCCTCACCACCCACACAATAAAGACCGAACAAGGCGGCAAGACAAATATTGGCAACGGCAGGGTTGCCAGGTTGACAGAGCCTATAGCCTATATACGCAACAGACATGCCGCTGCATCCGGCGATAAGAATATCATCCATAATAGATCTCTTGTTACCACGTAATTTATAGACAACGTTCTTTAATAAGCCCTCTAACAAGGTTGTTGCCCCAAATAAAAGGCCTGTTTGAGTCGCATCTACTTTCGGGGCTAACAAGGCCGATTTTAAACATTTCGTCTTAGATAAATGCCGGAGGCGGTATCTTTTTTCTTCTTCCCAGTATAATTCCATAAGATTGAATGGATATTTAACCATATACCATATAATGGACTTATCCAATGCTTCCCCTACTATTTCTGTGCCCGATAACCAACCCGGATATATGCTTGCTTGAAAACGATAACCTTTCCGCTCTGGTAAAGGATCATTCAGATAACTTTTCAGCTCGCGTTCTCTGGTAATTGATGGCTTGAACATCTCGTATCTAATTCTCTCGTATAGGCTAAGAGTTGGATTATTCATTATTATGGTTTTATCAATATCTAACACCTCAAACTCACAATATTTTACGGGTACTATTACTATGCTTTTTTCTAATGTTCAATACTCGTACTTATAGCCACAATATGCCTTTCTAAAAGAGCTAGTCCGGATAGAATTCAAATATTATCTTCAACAATAAATTATTGTTATTATCAATGGTTTGACATATATTTAGGAAATATTATTTGATTTGGGAATATCTAGATTTATTAGGATATTATTTCCATAACTTATCTCCGTTCAAAAAAATATAAAAAAATTCCATAACTTATCTTTGGTAGCTAGCAGTATGTGTTTGCATAGGTTTAGGAAACTAAGCACAAGATTGTATTATAAAGATTCACCTCTTGAGATTAATGAAAGCAAGTCAGAGTTTACAATTTCACAGGCGCTTTCCTATAAGACCCAGGGACTATATCGTACATTACATATCCAGACCAATGTGACTTGTATTTGACGATCGCAATATCTTAGAATTTAAAAATAAACACAGCCATAAACTAAAAACTTGAAATTAAACAAAACCCATTTCTTAAATATCGGACTTCGGCAAGTCAACGTCGGAGTTCGGCGTCGACCAACACGTGCTAGTCAAGTGACTCATTAAGTTGGGTAATTTTTCTTTCTTTCTTTTTTTTTTCCATTAATCCTCACTAATTCCCCCCAAAAATCACCTTTTCACCTAAATTTTCTATTTCTTCTTCCTTCTCTCTCCTCGAAGTGACTGAACCCTAGAATGAAAGCAAACCTGCAATTGCGCCTTTTTTTGTTGACAAATTAATCGAGATTACAGTTGAGGAAAAGCGGAACAAGGTTAGTACTATGAATTTGGTTGCAATTTGTCGAATTTAGGGGATTTTGCTTGATGTTGTTCGTTTTTGAGTTTCAAAATTGGATTTGCAGGAACATGAATATGGGAAAAACTGAAGAGGACTAAGTGCAATTTGTCGAATTTAGGGGATTTTATTTGCTTGATGTTGTTCATTTTTGTATTTCAAAATTGGATTTGCAGGAACTAAAAACACTTTACTTTTAATACCCAATTAAATGGCTACTCTGACCTCACCAACAATGGCAGAACACACTAAATGACATGAACATCCATTCGAGGAGAGAGAAAGAAGAAGAATTAGAAAAATTGGGGAAAAGATGAATATTTGGGGGAAATTCGTGAAACTGAGGGGAAAAAAGAAAAAAAAAAATTCATCCAACTTAATGACTCACAATAATTTAGGAACTTGTTTAATTATTCATCTTTGTACAGTAAATGGAAATGGATTCATGCAGACAAACCATATGAAAGGAAATCCAAAACAACAGACCCTTATATGATTTGATTCTAGTAGATTATGTTACCTAGACAAACGGACACATAACATCTTGCATATACCCGGGTTTGTACTAAGTAAACTGAATATTTAACCACTTGAATATGACCTATAGTGAATTAAGTTGAATAACTTTAATCCGTGGAACAAATTTTGGGCAATGATATTCTTGGATACGTGTAGATGCCAACTAATTTGGTTAAAGTTTTGAGGGTGATATCCTGGAATCGAATCTTGTCTACATTATTATCCTTACGTGTTACATCTCTCTTTTTACACCAAAACCAACATTCAAACATTCTTAGCTACCTGGAGATTCTTTGTGCATGGGTTTATTAAATTTAAAGAAGTTTAGGTAAACTAAAAATTTCACTTAAGAGCTGATGGAGTTATGGAGTTACAGTCCTTGCATCTAGAAATTTGTTCAAGTTCATCGCATTTTATCTTTCATAGCTAATGTAGCAGTAAGATAATAAGAGAGATTTGAAATGCTGCCTCTAGATATGCTCGAATCGAGTTAGCATTGATCGTTTACAAGTAATACAACTACTGATTTGATTTCCTTTGATGCTTAGTCCATAAATATAAAAGATTTAACCAAAGTGATCAATGTGCTGCTATAACTTGAATTTCAATGTTGAGCAGTTCACATGTGTTTCTTAAGGTGCTAGCTTAATTTTCAAAAGCATGTAAGCATCAACTTGGTGCATTTGTGAAAGAAAAATTGTTTAGTTCATCTAAATAACGACGTAAAGATTACAAATTACAAAGATCAAACCAAACCAAGAACAGAAATCAAAAGGATGTAAATATATATTTCGTAATTTGTTACAGAAAAGAAGGACAAAATGCATTAACATAGTAAATTCAATAAACCCCTCACACCACAATGCAATACAACACATACACTGATGATACACACACCACAACAATAAAAAAGGGGTGTCAAAATATCAAATAAAAGTATACAAACATCTACTAGTTATATCATTATTATATGCATTCAAGCAGTCCCAAGAAACGAAAACTGATGTATCATTCAAGGTTTGCCAGGGATGGCAGGCTTAGGGATCTCGGGTAATGTCGGCTTGGGCATTTCAGGGATAGTCAGCTTGGGTATCTCGGGCATTGTGAGTTTGGGCATTTCAGGCATCTTGGGTTTTGGCAACTCAGGCACAACAGGCTTGGGTAGTTCAGGGATAGTTGGCTTGGGTATCTCGGGCACTTCATGTTCGGTGGGCTTAGGAACTTCATGTTCGATGGGCTTGGGAGCTTCATGTTCAGTAGGCTTGGGCACTTCAACCGATTTGTGCTTTGGTTGTTCGGGTAGTGTTGGCTTGGGAACGTCGTGTTCAGTGGGTTTAGGGAGCTCTGGCAAGGTAGGTTTTGGCATTTCAGGCAATGTGGGTTTAGGCATTTCAGGTACAACAGGTTTGGGCATCTCTGGCAATGTAGGCTTGGGCAATTCATGTTCAATGGGCTTGGGCATCTCAGACTTTTTGGGCTTTGGTATTTCAGGCACAATGGGCTTAGGCTCCTCGTGCACAGTGGGCTTAGGGAGCTCTGGCAAGGTGGGCTTTGGAAGCTCAGGCAATGTGGGCTTAGGCAACTCGGGCACCTTTGGGAGTTCAGGCACTGTGGGCTTAGGAAGCTCAGGCACTTCCTCCTTTGGATGCTCCGGCACGGAAGCTTCTAGGAGACGGCGAGCTGAAACTTGCATTGTTCCGGTACTCATTACACAAGCAACGAGCACCATGCCAACTAAAAACAACCGGCAATTCATGGTTTGATGACAGGGGAGAAAACAATGATTCAAAAACAGAATGAAAGGTGAGAAGTTGTACAAAGGAGGGTTTTGTGTTTGTTTAGGATATGATATACTTTTGTGGGATCATGGGTATTTATAGGTTTAATGAATCGTCGAGCTGGATGGATTTAGGTAGGAAAGGTTGTGCATAGTTCAACTTCTCAGCTATATTATCACCTGCACTTAGAAAAATATGATAGGAGATGCATGGGAATTCTATCTGATGTAATACAGTTAAGTAATGATCTAATTCTGAATATGCTGGCATATAAAACATTATAAATTTGATTAAACCTCCTAGATAATCCAACAATATTAGAATTAGGATATCAGATTCAGGGCCCACAATTACCAAAGAAACTAAACAGCATAAATCAAGAGGTCTGAAAGATGCAAAATTAATGGTCAGAAACTAGTTTTTTAGGTACCTACCTCAGAACAACTACATTGACCTATTGAAAGAATTTTTTTTTCCCCCCTTATATTTTTGTTCTTCTTATTCCGGTTTACAGTACTTTTGTTCCGAAATTGAACATGATCACCTTATTAATGGACAAAACTTGTACTTCACCTTAATTTTTAGAAATTTACTAGGAAATTTCAGTTAAAACCAGAAAGATAAAATGTTTCAGCTTACTCAAGATAACCAGTTTTCGTTTGGCCACAGACTATATTATACCTACACTAGGCCACCATACCATTAACTCATTCATATTTCAAGTGAAAGGTAAAACTCCTGATGAATGATTGAATGGAGCCATTAGTGTAAACTTTGGGCTCATATTATATTGCGATGAGATTCTCCTTGATGCCTCTGATGGTAATTTTCAGAGTAATATTAGCAAAATTGTACAAAAACCTCAGTTATGTTCAATAGTCAATTTAGCTTTCATTTTTTATGATAACAGATATCATGCAGTATTGCAGTAGGCTGACTCTTTTATAGAATTTAGATTGAAGAGCAACAAGTAAAAACATTCTTAGGCACAACTACAAGCACAGCACTAATAAAAAAAAATGCTCTAAGTGAATTATTCTAGATACATGAGATGGTGATTTTACGGATTTACCTACACTAAAGATAATCACCCACTCGCCCATGTTTAACCACGTTCAGCTCTACGTTTAGATCATGTTCCATCCACGTTTCTCATGCTGCTACTTGTAACCTGAATGAACTCAAGTTTTTAGTTTTTTTTAGATATATTGATAAAAATTTTAGATGATTGCAGCACTTCAAAATAACTGTAATTCATTTTACAAAAATAGCTGATATATTTCATTAAAACAAATGGCAGAGACAATATATATATAACATTTCAACTGATTGAAATGAGTAACAAAAGAGTACAACTTCTGAAACCAATACAAGAGACTGAAGAGAGACAAAAAGATATCAGACTCAAAGTCCAAAAGATACAATAAATATAACAAAATCAATGTATTCCCAAGAAATGGAAACAGATTTATCCTCCAGATCAATGATTGTTAGATGATGATGGACTCAAGGTCTTGTTGTTTGCAGGTCATCTAAATAACTAATGACTTCTTCATAATCGATGATGAAAAGAGTGCGACTCTAATTTATCATCACTCATCAGCATCCGCAACTTCCACTTTGGGAACCGGGATTGTGGCACACTGGCACTACTCAGCATGCAAGCGATTAGCATCATATAGATTAAAAATACGTGAGTTTGGCCTGGTAACCCATGGTATATAGTGTGGGAGCAAAGACTTACCAGAACTGAAATGACGTGGGGATATAATGATGCTTTGATTACAGATTTGAGGGCTTTGTTTTTGTTAATTATTTGTGCAATCAGAGAATGATACAGCATTTTTTTTTTCGTGTTTAATTAGGAGCACTTATTATAGTATAGCTGTAGTAGAAGATGAACAATCTTGCTGGATGAATTAGATGGAAGAGATTGTCCGATAATCTGATCCAACACAATAACAACAGTCAGACTGTGCTGTACATACAGATTTTGCATTTGTGTTTGCTATATGGAACTCGTATGAGAAAGAATAGAAGTAAAGTTAATCCAAATGAGAATATATAAATTACGAAATATTTAGGACCAAAGAGATGAAATGTTACAAAGTACAATGTTCAAAAAGAACGAAAAGTACAAACATATACTACGTATAAGATATCAAAGGAATCAAATTCCTTCGCCCCCTAAAAAGGAGAAGAAACAAAAACTATCAATAAATAAAACATTTATTTATCATTATCCAATAAATTCACATAGTCCGAAGATATGCAAGCTACTATATTCTTCAAGGGTTGCCTGAGATGGCAGACTTAGGGTGTTCAGGCACAGTGGATTTGGGCAGCTCAGGCACTACAGGCTTGGGTAGCTCAGGCATTGTGGGCTTTGGCAGCTCAGGCATTGTAGGTTTAGGCATCTCGGGCATGGTGGGTTTTGGCATTTCCGGCATCTTGGGTTTTGGCAGCTCATCCAAATGGGGCTTAGGCATTTCAGGTACAACAGGTTTAGGTTGATGTGGCAGTGTAGGCTTGGGTGATTCATGCTTGGGTGATTCATGCTCGGGTGATTCATGCTCGGGTGATTCATGCTCGGTGGGTTTTGGCACCTCAACTGACTTGGGTTTTGGTAGTTCTGGTACTGATGGCTTGGGTAACTCATGCTCAGTGGGTTTAGGGAGCTGGGGTAAGGTGGGTTTTGGCATTTCAGGAACAGAAGGTTTAGGCAACTCTGGCAATGTAGGCTTGGGCAATTCGTGCTCGATAGGCTTTGGTGCCTCATCCAATTTGGGCTTTGGAATTTCTGGTAGTTTTGGCTTGGGTGTGTCGTGCACATTGGGTTTAGGGAGCTCTGGTAAGGTAGGTTTTGGAAGTTCAGGCAGAGTAGGCTTAGGAAGCTCGGGCAAGACAGGCTTTGGGAGTTCAGGTACCGTGGGTTTAGGAAGCTCAGGCAAGGTAGGCTTTGGAAGTTCAGGAACTTCTGGCTTTGGCACTTCCGGCTTTGGAACTTCTGGCTTTGGCACTTCCGCCTTAGGATGCTCTGGCAAAGAATCTTCAAGAAGGCGACGAGCTACAACTGGCATTGTCCCAGTACTCATCACACAAGCAACGAGCAGCATACCATATATAAACAAGCGAGAACCCATGGTTTCAAGAAGCAAGCGTAAACAAGTGTAGAAATCACTAAATCAGGAGTGAAATAACTTGTTCAAGAGGGATTTTTGTGTTTGTTTAGCATATGATATACTTTGTGGGTTCATGGGTATTTATACGTTATATGAATCGCGTAGCTGGATGGAATTAGGTGAAAAAGGTTGTTCATAGTTCAACTCCTCAGCTAAATTATCACCTAATTTTAGACAGAAAAAAAAAATAATAAATAAATAAACTTCTGACGTACGATGTAATACAGTTTAATTATGATCTAATACTAAAATTTAGTTCCTTTTTTTATTCCTTCTTCCTGTAATAATTATCAAGTCATTACAGAATAAGCTAATTTTATTTTTAACTAGTCGGCCTTAATAATCATAGCGCCTACACAAAAATGTTTTAGAGGTTGACGTATACAATTACCTAAATTATGGGAAGCCAAAAGGGTCCAAGGCGATTCTCAGGCTTTCAGCTAAGCCAAAAAGAACATCAACTGTTTGAACTTTGCTCTAGGAAAACAGTTAAGGCTGGTTCAAGGACAGAGTTTAGCTATGTCGTAATTCCACACTATTAAGTGAAAGATTTAGATACCGGTGAACGGTACTCAAAGCATTCATCGGAAAATTTGGGTCATACTATGTTGCAACAAGAACCTACCCAATACCCATGCTTTCACTTTGTATCACAAAATAATCTGAATTTGTCTCTGACTCTTAATGTAATACTCGCAAGTCACAAGTAATAAGAGCATATTGCGTTCAAAAATTTTCTATTCATGTTCAATACTCAGTTTGACTTCATATATTATGGTACTGAAATCATACACAAAGCTGACTTCCATACAAAAACTGGATAAACAGCTAAAAGAGCACATATCAAGTCAGCATATACAACTTATTAGAAAGACTAAATCATGATGTTTCCCTTTTCCAATAGGGTATTCAAAGGAAAAATGATAGCCAGATAAATATTGCAAGAAATACACCAAGAGGTTCTGCAGCAAGAATACGAATGGTCCAAAGTATATCAACATACCCCTACATGATTGAGGTGATGTAGTTTCAAACCACGGATCGCAGCTCACCGGTTTCCAGGGCAAATTTCCGATGCTGTGACAAGACAGATGGAACTTTAACAGCTTCTAATCTTGCCAAATAACTACTGCAGCTGGATTCTTTATATTCCTTAGCAGCATTGAGTATTGTCTGCAACATTTGGAGGGGATCACCATGGCTGACTATCAATATTGAACACCTGTAAAAATTCTGAGACTATTAGTTTCAAATATTTGTAAAACCCTGAAGTATACAGAGTGACTTATTATATCATATACGAAGTATAAGAAATTGAGTTCAGCACTCTAAGACACTATATTCAAGCAGATAATACTCAATTAGATGAAGACCAGAGATTAATGTCAGTAATAAAAGAACATTTAAAAAAATATATATTTAGTAAATAGGAAGTACTCGAACAAAGAGAAGATAACACAGATGATTTGGTGAAATTACCCTTCAAACATAGCCTCCATTTCTCCAATGGCCTTCAATAGACGTGATACAACATCAGCAGCACATTCTCCACCTTCTGGACGCTGGAATGGATCTTTCTCATCAAGCGCCCATATCTCTGGATACTAGTAGGAATATAAATTTAAGAATCAGGAATCTAGAAATTTAAAAAAAGAAGACCTAGAAAATTTTAAATCACACTCTTAAGAACTGAAACCAGACTTGTTCACTGATTAATGTATACCAGCGTTAACCCCATTTGGTGCATGTGATAGAAATTGTAAAGGCAGAAACCCTATGAGCTACACAATCGAGGGTAGCCATACCAGATTCCTTAAGCCCCATCATGATTTAATTCTCCAGAAGTCTTAATACAACTTTAGATATTTATTTATGGTGTAAAAATTAGAAAGGTTTTACATCAGCAGCATTTTTATCATCCCTGGTGTGAACATTAGAAAGGTTTACATCAGCAGCATTTTTATCATCCCTGGTAATCAAAAGGATATTTATGGTGTAAGCTTCTCTTTTGCAACAAAAATCTCTTTCTCATATATAGTTAATGTATAGAATTCCCATATAGGTTATTAGGTTACTTTGTCTTAGACAAAATTAGTTGATAAGGAAGTTTTTAAAAAAAAAATTGACATGGGAATTTATCTCCAACCATACACAGTACTAGTGTGCAAAAAAAATAAAAAAAATAAGTAAAAAATAAAAAAATAAAAAAAAAAAACTGTATGGCTGTATGAAGAACCAGAGATGCAAAACTTACCCGGTCATGTGATGAAAGCTCATATGAAGGGCCAAAGTAACGTTCCCGAAGATCTTCAAACACCTATTAAAATATTGTAAAGTTAACAGCTAGAAAAAGGAAGGGCAGCAGAAGTGCAAAGTTAAAACAGAGATCTGCAACTCAAAAAGTGAAATTAACCAGAAAAAATACATAATCAGTCTCAGATATAAATGTGCACCATATAAGTTATTATTCAGGTATTTTTTGTTTGGATAAATTATTTTACACAACAGCATACAGAATTTACAAATTTATTTGTTTGCCAAGTTTTAAAATCCTTCGATGTAAATGACAGTCACATTAAACTTCCACAATCTTGAATGAAGCAGTATTTTATTTGTTGAAGTTACAAAGGGTGTACCTTGCATTGACTACCTTCAAATGGAAGATTCAAGACAGATGCAACCACTTTAGCAGTATGAGCTGTTCTAGCAAACGGAGAGTAACAAATGCGAACGTTTTCCAATGGAATATTAGCATCCTTCAAGTCCTGCACTTATGGACCAGTTTATTTGAGATTAATGCATAATGGTTAAGGAAGTACATAAATTCCATAAAATATCAAAGCAAAAAAATCACCTTAAGGAATCATGTTTCCAATAGAGATCCACAAACAATTAAAGTGAAGGCTCCCAGACAGAAATTTTGCACAGCATGAGATTCAATTTGCGGTATCTTAATTTCTTAATTAATTACAGTACATGATTATGTGTGGGAAACGAATCAGCAATCTCGACTCAATAAGCAATAAGCTTTGAAGTAAACCTAAAAATACAGCACAAACAGAAATGACTAAGATATACTTGTATTATGGTGAAATTGCAGTATTACTGTGTGAGATATTAATAATCCACCAATAATTCGGAACAAATTAGTTGCGTTCCAACTTAAATATCCAGCGATGTTGATCACAATGTATTCATTGCTTACTGCCTCACTCTAGTCTCTACTCTTTAGAACTTTTCATCATCCTCTAAACTAACACAAATGCAGAGCAATCATGCTTATTTTCGACAGAAAGTTGCAATCAGATTTCTCTAAAAACAAACGCATGAATCCCATAAGTGAATTAATAGATTCTCAGATAACCTCTTCGGTAAATGTGAAGCATTTGCTATCCTAATGGAATATATTTCCCATAAGTTGGTGAATTCTTTATCTATCTGTTTGGATTAAAAGTTGGAATTACAATGACTACAAATTCAAATGATACAACAATGATTAACGAGACGATATGCACTTCCTATGATTACACAGCAATGAAATTGGAGTAAAACTACCTTTTGGAATTGCTCCCCAGCCAATTGGGCTTGTTTAACACCCAACTCTGCTAACTGATACTCTGGAAGTACCCCATTTTCCTGTGTGTTAATCAATCATCAGCCAAATCATAAATAAGCCATTAACAGTTTAATGCTACCATAACAAGCAGAATTAAAGCAAAAATCAAGAATTTTTTTTCGAGAATCCATGAAATAGATGATAAACTTTATAACCCTAAATCCCTAATATCAAAACATGATTAACCAATCAACAGTCAAATTAAATAAATTAAGAAGAACCCATCTACAATTACATCTCAATGTATAAGTTTAATAAATAACGAAGAATACTAAAAGAAATAATAACAAATGAATCGAATTGAGTAACATAAATATGATAAATAAATTAAATAAAATGTGGGTATTGAAGAAGGAAGAGAAAGGTACCAAAGAGGAAACAATGAGGCCTTTCTGATTAGGGATGCTTTTGCCATGTCTAAGAATCCAGTATTTGTTCTTCAACAATGAAGAAGCTGCCATGTCCCCAGTTCCCTTCGTTTTGTTTGCTGCTTTGTTTTGCTATCGCTCTCTCTGATCAAACTTATGATCGGGCTATAGGTGGCCATGGGCCGCCCGGGTGTTTGGGGTAAGGACTAGGTAGTTATAAGTAACACTTATTAAAATATCAATTAGTATCAAATGTATCGTGGTACATTTAGTAAAAAAATTGAACATTTTACAAAAAAATGAACATCTAGTAAAAAAAACATGAACACGTCACAAAAATTTAACATAAACATGCAATTTTTATGTTCATATTTTATCAAGAAATGTTCATTTTATACACATTAAATGTTCAGTTTATATTACAAAACTATTGAATTATTATGACTAAGTTCAAAATTTGTCTGACTCGTAATAATTCAAAATTTGCGATTGTTCAATTTTTTTTACTAAATGTTCAAAATTTGTTATTGTTCATATTTTTTACTAAAAGTTCAAAAATCATAGGCGTGGTGCATTCGATTGTTCAGATTTTTTTACTAAATGTTCAAAATTTGCGATGTTCGGATTTTTTAACTAAATGTTCAAAATTCTTGATTGTTCAGATTTTTTTTACTAAATGTTCAAAATTTGCGATGTTCAAATTTTTTAACTAAATGTTCAAAATTCTCGAGTGTTCAGATTTTTTTACTAAATGTTCAAAATTTGCGATGTTTAGATTTTTTAACTAAATGTTCAAAATTCTCGATTGTTCAGATTTTTTTACTAAATGTTCAAAAGTATAGGCATGATGCATTGCAATTGTTCAGATTTTTTAACTAAACGTTCAAAATTTGCGATATTTAGATGTTTTTACTATACGTTCAAAATTTGCAATTGTTCAGATTTTCTTATTAAATGTTCAAAACTATAGGCGTGGTGCACCTATTTCTAGCTGCACCATGGTGCATCTTAAAATTTGTGTTAAAATACTATTAAGTTACTCTGTATTAGAGTATACCCGTATTAACGCATGGGTATATATATAGCATGTATATTTAGAAAGAAATATTTCGTAAAACAATAGGAGAGGTACATACTTATATGTTATTTGATTTTATACTACTATACTGCATTGTGATGTGACTATTTATGTTGTTATTATTATTACAACTTCCATTCTTCTTTTATTATTATTCTCCCCTCAATAAAGATTAGGTCATCATTTTTAAGAATAACGACATTAATACCAAAATCAAATCGAAAAGTTGAGGGTTCGTTTGGCATCGCTGTGGTTTTTCTGTTTTTTGGTTTTTTTATTATTTAATAGTATATTATATACGTCACGTAATGAATCAAAAAATATTTAGACTTATTGAAAGCATGATAATTTTGAAAACCGACAACTAAAAAGTGGAAACACCTTTTTTTTGTTTCCTATTTTTGGTTTTTAGTTTTCAAAAAAATAGGAAACTGAAAACCAAAAATGATGCCAAACAAGCTCTGAATCTGTTTTGTGTAAGTTTAGGATTTGTGTAAATGGAGTAAAATTGAAAGCATGAATTCCCAAACAACAGGTTCAAATAATGGAGATAATAGAACAATTGGTTCTAATTATCTCTTTTTTCTTTTCCTATTAATTATTTCATGTATACTACTCTATCTGCAGTTCCACATGTAATTAAATAACACTGTTGATGTAACAATCAAAACCTTCATCAATTCAAATATGTATGAAAAATTCAATGTATAATCTACAAGTTCAACAAATATACCAAAATATACCAATTCACCGAAATCTAGATTTTACCATAATTTAAAATTCAACAAATATACCAAAATATACATGACAAAAAGAATATCAACAGTAAAGTAGTTTTTTTTAACACATTCTTCATTAATTATCCCGATTCCCCTTATATTTTTCACAACACTCGATATATTTTTTATAGCAAACCTTACCAGAGTTTAATGTCGCTACTGCTCAATTTCTTCATTAAGTTTCTCTTCAATGCTTTTCTTGGTCAATTCCCGTTCCCTAACAACTTCGGAATGTCTAACGGAGAACCTTATAAGGTCGTACATGTCGAACACAGTTCTATTCTTATATTGCTTAAGTCATTTTTTTAATCCCATTATTTTACCCAAAAATCAAGAATCAATAATAAAGAAACCGCGAGAAGAGATGAATTTCGAAAGTAAGACAAGAAAGAAAATAATTAAGAATGAAGAAATAAGGACCCAGTTATTAGAATGAGATTGATAGTTAAAAAATGATTTATAATAATTAAGTTAGTTCGTTATTGGATGTTTTTTTTTTGTTTTTATTTGTTTTTGTCGCAAGTTCGTTATTTGAGTCAAATAAAAGAAACAATTTAATTTCTTGACTTATCTGTCAGGCATATGAGCTATTAGTATTTTTAACAACTAGTTGTGGCCCCACGCGTTACGCACGCGGTCCCCCAATGGCGGTAACAATTATTTGTAATTATATATATACGGTGGTATCGTTACATGTTAATTATGTTTGCGTAGTGTCTAGATTTTGTATGCATTTAAATTATTAACTCAATGTGAAAAGGAAAATATTGAAATATAAATTATCATATTAGAAATATGTAACTTAAATCATCATATTAGAAAGAAGTAACTTTAATCATCATAAAATGAACTTACGATTTTATGTAACGACGAGCACTTATATTCCACTATTAGAAAAATAAGAGAGTACAAGTATCATTTAAGGTTTATAATACAATATGACTCTCTCTATATTACTCTCTAAACAGTATTACAATGTACAAGGAGTTGTAGTATGTAGGAAGTCTTATGTACGGTATGGCTTCTTGTGTTGTTTGTTTTCAATTATTGAATCCCTATTTATAAGTGTAGATAGAGTTTGAAAGAAATGGCCGGAATATTCTAGAAATTCCTCCATCATCATTCTTGTATTATTCTAGAAAATTTACGAACCATGTATTATATTCTAGCTAATAGTTTCCAATATCAATAATGAACTACAACATTCAAGTAGGATATTATTCTAGAGATTCCGAAAGCATATAGAATATGCCAATATTCCACCAAATTAATGGGCTTATAAAATTTGGGCCATACCCAACAAAGAAGAAAAACTTTACAAATTAATAGAGTAATAAACTCCGCAATCCACGATCATGCATTTTACAAATACTTATAACAAATTAACAATTGTTATGAAATATTTGTGGATATCCATTATCCTCCTTTGTATCATTGCGGAACAATCTAGATCTAGGGTTTATATTCTTATCCATTCAAACCCTAATATATTGTATTTATATATACCCCATTATATAGAATAGAAATGCACTGATATATTCTCTATCAATCTCTCTTATATTTCTCTCTATTTTATAATACGTTATCAGCACCATACCTCTAATTTAAGCGAGTTTGAATAAACCTAACCACAAAAAGGTACGCATATACTATTTTTAATCAATAATGTATATACCTGTTTTATCAATTTGATTTAACATCATATTCATAGGGCAATAGATTTGACCATTCTTTATTTTAAGATTTAATTTGATATCGGTTTCATTAATATGATGGTTTTACTCTCTTATTTTGATACTGTAATTCATCATTTAAATTTTTACATCATATAATTAAGTTGTAAGGGTGCCGGAATATGCAAACCTTTTGTTTGTTCTATTTAGTTCTATTACTTTGAGTTGTTTTACGTAAAATTAATCTTTGGTTTGTTTGAATTCACATTCATCTTAGAATTACAGGATACTTTAATTTAATATAATGGGTTTTATGGTAAATTATTAGTGTTGCTTAAATTGTATTATTTGGTATGCATTTGCTTCTCGACGTCAATTCACATATATATGAAGTTTGTATTTGATTAACATGTTTAATTATTTAATCAACTCTAAAGATACGAAAAGATAGGCAGTAGAAGGTTTTTTTTTTTTTTTATTATTATTATTATTTAATGTGCATAGCAATATTTATACAAGCTAAAGGCAAAACAAGATCCCTAACCCTACGGCAAGTAGGATAGGAAATATGCCTATCTTAATATAGATATCATATATATCATAAAATCAAATATATACTCCCATTATTTATCCTAATATCAACTGTTTATTAGATATGAGGATGAGCATGTACACGGATTCTAGTAGGCGTAGCTATTATGTTGTGTGACTTGTAGATTGTTGTAATTATCAATTGGTAATGAGTAGCTTGGAATTTTATAATAGAATAATAGTGTCATTAGACATATGAATAATAATCCATGATTGGTTGTTTCAACAATTTATCTCTACTGTACTCTTAATTATAATTGCATTACTCTTTGTGAACAAGAAATTGAGGTAATATATATTCGGTTACCTTATAATTGATTTTTTTTTTTATCACCGTTAGGCTTATACTTCGTATATATTAGATTATAAGCTATCAAGCCCCTTGATCTATTTTAGTGTTGAACATACATTAGTAGTATGTGACCTATGTGTTTAGCTTCTCTATTATTTGGTTGATTGGAAAATTGATTCTGGCTATATTGGTTATTATTTTTCCTAATGTTTTGTGGCTTATAGTGATTAAATGTAATTCGAGTGCAATGTTACATATTAAAGTTTATATCTGCATGATTGTTTTATAATATATAAATATATGGGGAAGTCGGATCTTAATTGATGATTTCAATCGTATGTTTTATTGATTTAAATTTATAATATCACACATATTTTAGCTACAGTATTTTGAGGAGTGTAGACATTAATTAATTATATCAAGTTATTATATTATATTAATCTTTTTGGTAGTATATACTAAAGAAATAAAAGGTATTATCAAATTATATCTTTATAAGAGTCATAATTACATATGGCTTACACATATGGAGCTGTTTTTGAAGTGATCAATTTGCAAATTATATCTTCTGCACTAGTAAAGGTATGTCCAATATAATTACGGATTTAATAGTAATGCCAAATAATTATTTCCTATAATTTATAATAAATTTGAGTTTGATAAATGATAACATATATTGCTTTAAAGTGCTAAATGGTACGACTCTCAATTTATTGTACCTTATTGTATTAATACATTATTTGTATTGTGTATGGTATGCATACATACATTTTTTTTA